TGGAACATGATGGTTCACAGTAACTTTTGAAAAAGATGAGATATTTCCTTGTAACAATAATGGCTAATGGTAACCATAGAAAAAGAAAAGACACTAATTTGTAGCATTGATAGTTTATGGTAACTTAAGAAAAAGATAAGGCAGATAAAAAAATTCTAAATCAAAAACAACTAAACTGTCTAACAATATTTTTTTACATGCACTTAAAGGCTATTTACTATAAAAGTTCATAAAAATACACAGATTTAATTTCAGTAACCAAGAAACCTTAATTACTTGTTTGAAGAAATACACACTGATGCAGAAGGCAAAGATGTTGATCTATGCATTGTACATATAGATAATGGTTTCCTTCCATCATCATTGGATTTAAATGATGACAGTGCTCAATTATTTTCACAACTTGAACTGCTTGCAAGATTAAAAGAGAAAAACTTGTTGTTAAATGGAAAATGAAGTTTGTGACATTGATAGTTTAGTTTAATTCTTTGAACAGGAATACAATTCTACAAAATGTCTTTTTAATGTAAAAAAAATAAAAGTTGAGTGACAAACAGCATCTACCTTTTTTCTTAATTTTTTTTTACCTAATTAATATTACTTTTTTGATTAATTTATATAGATAGTAATTTCAATATCAAAAAACTGTTTCCCACAGCATTAGAGTTCCTATTGCACATTCAATTCTCAAATGGAAAATGAGGTTATTGCTGTGACACTGATGGTTAATTTTAATTCTTTGAACACGAATACAATTCTACTGAATGGCACCTTTTTATTGAAGCCTCAAAAACAAAAGATTTTGAAACTTCAATAGCTGTATAGCGTGTCAAAGCCGTATTGTTACATATTAGCATTCATTTACCATCAGAGCCTATTGCATATTCAATGATCATGCCAGTAACCTACAAAAATCTGAAAGATATTTTAAATGCCATACAGTATAATAAGCACCAGTGGATCAATGATGTCCTGATCTAAAAGTAATTGCAATCCTAACTAGACTAGACTTCCTTTGCTTTTGGGGTTCATAAGCAAAACACTGCCATTACAAAAAAGTAAGGAATAAGCAAGATTGTAAAACTGTTGGAAACTTGTTTAAAATATTTACCAAACAATTTTTTTTTTACCTATAGATATACAATTAGGCCTCATTAAACAGTTTATGAAAGCACTTGACAAAGATTGCAATGCAATGAACTTTTTAAAGAAAAATTTTCCAAATTGAATTCTGTAAATGTAACACAAGGTGTTTTTATGGTATCACAAATGACGGAGCTGCTTCTCAAGTAGCAATTTTATGACACTCTAACACCATATTAAAAAAGTAGCATGGCTATCTTTTCAAAATGTTTGCAATGGTTTTTTTGGACATCATAAAACAGCAAATCTGAATCTCTAATCAAGAATATAATAAAGAACTATAGAAAATTATGATTAAAGAAAACTTTCAGCTTCATTACTTGCTGATTACAGCTAGGCTTTAGTGTGTAACTCAAGGCCTCCTTTTTTTTTTTTTTACAACTTCACTTCCAACAAGGCTGCAAGCAAGAGCTCTAGATATCTCTAGACAAGCTTAGATTTGAGTTAGAGTACAAGTTAGAGTTGTTACTAGAAGAGAAAAGATGAAGTTTATAAAGTAAAATACGATTAATAGAGGACTTGAAAGATTGCAAATTCAGGGTGTCCTCTCAAAATTTTAAAAAATTCCAGCACTTATTACTTCATTGAGATATGTTTTTCCAGGATTTTGGTCCTGAAACCCATATCTTTTTCAAGCATCAGTATTGGATAAGCATTTAAATTCCAGCACTAATGATATTTCTGAAGTGATACAAAAATGGTCTTAAAGACAACCACTGTACTTATAAACATAAAAGTATGTAATCTAAAACTAAATACTAAATACTTAATCAAAGAAAAACTGTAATAAATTAATAAAGTTATTATTACTATAAACACTACACTCAACACCATTAAGAATTATATAATAAGAAAAAAAGACAACAAAAGCAAGGACTTAACACATTTTTTCAATTTAACAAATTTCAGAATTACTAAAACAAATTAAACTTACTGAAACTCTGAAGAGTCAGTCATAACAATGACTGAAGCACAAAAAAAAATTTTAACAATTAACTTGAAAAAAGCTAAAAACAAAACAAAACATTCATGACGGCTAACAAATATTTTAAATAAACAACTACTTGTTGGCTTACTAAATTTCTAATTATTATATCAAAAAAACTCTTATGGAATTCACAATCCATTTTTTATCTTAGTTAAGATTAATTAATTCCAAAATTTCTCAATAAATCACAAAAAGAAAAAATAACTTAAGATAATAAAAACAATAAGGTATACTGAAATAAAACAAGTAATTTGTTAATAAAAACTAACTTTTTTTCTTCTTATTTTTAAGTTCTTCAAACTGTTTTTCTCTAAACTAATTCTCCTGTTAAAACAAACATAATACCTTCAAGTGTTGTTTAGTTTCAATACTTTTTTCTTTTTAATCTTTTTAAACTTAACTCAGGTCAGTTTTTTTCTCTGCAAGTTCCATACACTCTTTTATTTTGTTTTCCATCATTAAAATTGCTTTTTTTAACTTTTTGATTAAACTTTTTGATGTCAGCTGTGATACGCATCGATGTTGCTGTGATATGCATCGCTTTTTGTTCTTGCTCCGCTTCTCTTTCTCTTTTTACCTTATCCAAATTTTTACCTTATTGTGATTATATATATATATCCGAGCACATAGTCAACGAGCGCTGATCCAATGTGTATTGTGGAGCTTCCGACTGAGCGTGTGCGTGAGTGTCAGCGTAGTCATTGGGTTATTGATTGCCGTAACCACATTTTTCAAATGAATTGTTTTTTATTTTAGATGGGTTGATCAAAAAGCTTTGACCTATGGTGCTGTGGTTTAGACTGTGTGTCGTTTGACCAATGGTGCTGTGATTTAGACTGTGTGTAGTTTGACCAATGGTGCTGTGATTTAGACTGTGTTTAGTTTTAAATCATTGACAATTAGATGGTTCTTTACGATTCTCCAGGAGAAAATACTTGAAGGTGTCATGTTTGTTTTAATAGAAGAGTTGTTTATGCTAAAACCACCCTCAACAGCAACCTGGCCATGACTAAGTAATAAAATTGACAAAAGACAATTCGATGTAATTACTGACACAAGCATGTTGAAAATAAAAATCATCAAGATGATCCTTTGGATGAATAAACTTATAAGATTTTTGTTTTATGGTTTTGACTTCATTATCCATAAAATCTAGAAACTAAGATAACACCAAGTCACTAGCTGCAGTGATAAAATCCCTAAACTCATGTAGTACCCAAATAAAGTTTTCAAAAAATCAACCAATTTTTGTTTTGCCAACTCTATCAAGACATTAGGGTTAAAGACTGATGCTCTTATCAATGAATATTTTTTGGCCATCTTAAAGACTAATAATTTATCACTATAAATATAGTTAAATTATCAAATTATAAATTATAATTATGATATTATTATAAATTATTACAAATTATAATTATAAAGTAAAGTTTATAATTATAAATTATAAATATAAAATTATAATTATTGTTAGTAAGACTTAAAATAACCTTCAAAAATCAAACTAAACACAAATCAAGTTACTAAACAGCAATTAAAAAAAAAAGGTTTTTTCAACATCAATGTTGCTTAAAGCATTAATTTTTCCAGTTTTTCGAGCCTGTTTTTTAAAAACAGCTTTTTTTCTAGTTTTTCCATTTTTTCCAGCAGAGTGGACACCCTGAAATTATATGAATCAGAAAAACAAGATGAAGGGAGCGTATTCCAAAGAACTGATGTTATAGTATTTAAAGAAAAGAGAAAGATAAGCAACATTACGACAATGTGTAATGTTGCTTACCTTTCTCTTACTTATGTACTAGTAATATTGCACTTTACATAACACATACTTGTTAAATCCAAATAGAAGTTTCATTATCAAAAGAAGAAAATATGATAAAAAAATTATAAACATTATAGTATTTATAAACAGTAAAAATCAACATACTATATTTAAAATGGTAGAATAGTGATGAAAGGCATCATATTTATTCCATAAAACAATATATTTTCTGAAAGAAAACCAAATATACATTGTATATCTTTCAAAATAAAAATTATATATCAATAATTGTAGGCACAAGTGCTACAAGAACTTTAAGATAATTTTTTTTTTTTATAGAAAAATGGGAAAATAGATACAAATAGAGTGCTCAAACACATACAAATCCTTAAGATTTCAGAAATATTAAACAATTTCTCACTGCTAATAATTGTACTTTAAGAATCCCTACCCTAAATATTAAATCAAAAGACGTATTGTCATTTGATTTACCTTTTTATACTCTTTAAAGAAATAAAAATGTTATAATTTTGAAAAACAAACTTTAATTAAGAACTTTTCATTTATTTGCACATACATGTGTTTATATTTAACCCCTATCTCCCACCCCTATATATTTAAGTTAGCAGAATTCCCTTTACCCTTAAGAGCACACAAACTTTATTTACTATTTGTTAAACTATACCAAACCCTAATTTATAACAGCCAATTTAGAAGCCAAACATATAGTTATCATTTAAAAAATAAATGAAAACAGTTTTGATTAATTGCTTTGCTTATTAAGTTCTTTATTTATCAACTTTTTCTACAGGGTGATTAACCATTTGTTTCAGTGAGAAAGAGTTAAAGAATAATTAAAATTTTTACATAATCATTTGCACTTTTAAAGTACAAATTAATTAAAGGTAAAAAAAGATTTAAAAATAAGTGCAACAATTATAATACATAATATTTTATTACAACAATAGATAACAATTTATTTTTTACAAAACAAACATAAGTAGGATAATTTTTCGAGCTATTTGAATTTTTTAATCAAACTCTATTACTAACTATTTTTTATATATTAAAATGATAAAACTTTGATAGAAACTAAAAAAAAATAGAAACCTGTTATCTTCACGCCAGTTACTTCTTGGTGAAGGATCAGTATCATTGCTATTAAAGTCAAAGCTGGCTCTAGAATCCTTTAAAAATAATTAACTATAATTGTTTTGTTTAAAAATAATAACTATAACTAACTGAATGAATTTAAAATGCAAAACTAATAAAAAAAATATATAAAAATAAAGATATTAAGATTAATAAATAAAGATAAATTTCTTAAATATACTTTTTAACTACAAAAAATATAAAATAATTTTTTTCTTATTAGTTGAAAGCATTTACAGTTGTTAAAACTAAAAATAAAATAATTAAATAATTTTTACTCAAAAAATTTAAAAGAAAAAAATTTAGAAAATTTCATTTTAGTTTTTTATTACCACTAAATTTAAACAGATAATATAGATGATGAAAAAACTTAATAAGAAACCATTTTGAATTCTTAATGGCATTGCAATAATACTTAATAAAAAACAAGACATTTGAATTCTTAATGGTATTGCAATAAGCAAACAGAAAAACTTTTACATAAAAAAAAAATCATAGTATTAAAATTAAAAAAAAGGTATACATAGTTTCCTTTTAGTTCTGGATGTGTATGCTCAATTCCTAAAAGAAAAGAATAATTATGTAAATATCCTTTTGAATTGAAAAATAAAACTCATATTAATATATATATATATATATATATATATATATATATATATATATATATATATATATATATATATATATATATATATATATATATATATATGTATATATATATATATATATATATATATATACACATATATTTATATATATATATATATATATATATATATTATATATATATATATATATCGCATATATATATATATATATATATATCGCATATATATATATATATATATATATATATATATATATATATATATATATATATATATATATATATATGTATATATATGTATATATATATATATGTATAGATATATATATACATATATATATATATATATATATATATATATATATATATATATATATACATATACATATATATATATATATATATATATATATATATATATATATATATATATATATATATATATATATTATATATATATATATATATATATATATATATATATATATATATATATATATATATATATATATATATATATATATATATATATATATATATATATATATATATCGCATATATATATACATAAGTTTCTTTAATAACTAAATATTTAAAGTCTTAAATTGAAAAAAATTAGTTATAATCCTGATATTTTTGATATTTAGTGAAAATATTATTTAATATTAAAACTTTGACAGGAAAATTGATGATAATATGATAAATATTTTCATATTCATATCAAAAATATTAATGACAATTAAATGAAGCTTTTTATTTTATTTTATAATTATGTGCAAATTATTCAAGTTTAAAGAAATTTATCATATTATCAGACTAAAGATCATAGTTAGATCTTTAGTCTGAAAAGTTCTATTTTATGGTTAGTCTTCAACTGAAACAGAAAAAGAAACCGAAACCAAGATAAACCGAAAATTTGGGTACTGTAGTTTGGTGCTGAAATCGAAATCAATATTTCGGCAAATATTTTACCAAAACCAATACCAACATTTTGAGTAGTCAAAATTAATTTCATTAGAAAGTTTAATTTAAGAACGCATTTTTACATTTGCTGTTTTTTTATATGTGTATTATATTAAAAGTGTGGCACAAATTAAGATTTAATATATAAGTTTTTAAGTTAATAGTAAAAGTTAATAGTAAAAGTTAACTGGCAGATTTTCTCCGCAAAACATGATTTTTTTGAGGTACTGTGTAAAAATTCTTAAAATTTTAGTGCAAAGTCTCAAAACATTTTGTGAAAATTCTCAATTTGCCTTTCGAAGTTAAAGCTGAGAAAGGATTGCGATGACAACTAAAGTAGCCTCCTCCACTAAAGTGGCTTTCATGGCCTTGAAGAGGTTAAAAAAATAACAATAATGCCAACTGTTTAACCGCAATAACTCACCAGTGTAATATTTTTTTTACGCTGTAAAAACAGTAGATACAGTAAAAACCTTTGAAAGTTGTAATTGGGATATCCTACTATTGTTTATTACATAATTTTTTGATAAAAAGTTATATCTTCATTATACAACAACAGTAGCGTAAAAAAGTTGCAAACTAAACTCCATTAATTTATATCAAGGAGTAAAACAGGGATTAATTACTTACCCTACTTCTATAACATTCTATAACATATACTTAAAATCTTCTTGAAACAATCAAAAATCATGGTCTATTATACATCTATATATGGTACTTTAACTGGTGAAATAACATATGTCAATGGTATTACACTATTGAGGCCTACACTCTCTGGTCTCAAAAAGCTTATAAAATTGTGCATTAATTAAGATTGTAATAAACTAAATGCAAATGCTGAGTTTAAGCAAATACACAACAGTATGATAATCATTTCTTGAAATAAAAAGAAACTTCAGAACAAAACTTAAACAAAGAGAATTTATATGGGATACTGAACATTCAATCTTTGCATCACTTAGCTGTTTAATTGTCGAGAATCTCAAACTTTATAGCAGTTGTGCAAACTCAAAGTCTGAAATTTAGTTTGCTGAATAACAAACTATGACTAAAATTATCAAATACCACAATATGTTACCATGGCAATTTTGTTTCACAATATGTCTATTAATTAGTAAATAATTAATTTAAAAAACATATTGTGGAACAAAAGAACTTGAAATTTTTATTCTTTTATTTACAAAAAAAAAAAAAAAAAAGAAAAAAAAAAGAATTGCTATTGCAAGGTAAAAAAGTTTTTTTCAAAAACAAAACAGTTTAAGGGGTTAAGAATAAAAAAAATAATTTTGAAACATCAAAATTTTGAAATTTTGAATATTTCTTTGGTATTGAAAAAATCTAGTTTAATAACTTGTTTACATTACAAATATATTTATATACATAGTATATATCTACACACACAACATATCTTTATACTTAACATAAATTTAGATCCAAGTATCATTATTTAAATGTATAAACCTTTAGCAGAGACAACTTTTACTTTTTTTTTTCTTTTTTTGTTGTTGTTTTCACATGATCTTATTATATTTGTTTATTAATTGAATGATTCATTCATAAATGTAATAACTATATAAGTTCTTTATTTAAAATCTAAGAAATATCAAATTGTATTCAACAAAACTAAACTTGTTCCTTTTTCTTCTGGACAACAAAATCAGATATTTATCTTTTACAACTAAAACTCAAGTTCAACACTCTTTTGTTGCCAATATTCAAAAACTATGTTGTTGTCAATAAATTATTAAAACTTGATGCAAAATAAAAAGAAATATTATGGAGAGTGAAAGAAATAAAGAAATTTGAACATGAATGCGCAATTTCCAAAGAACAGAGACATCTTCAAAGGAATTCTTAATGCTAAAAATTCCAAAGTGAAAAAATAGGACAATTTACCCTGTAAATAGGTGTTATACAAATTTTCAAAAAATTAAGAAATTTAATAAATTTACAACAATGCACTATATGTACTATAATAGCGCTTTGCTGCAAAAAAAAATTGCAAAGGAAAAATTGTGTGGAAAATGTTATGATGACAATTGTTGATTGGTTGAAATGATTGTTATTTGTTTTAAGAGCAGAAAATATCAAAGGGCAAAATGAAAATGTGTTCCCTTTTTCTCAAATCAATACAAAACTGAAAAATGAAAATATCAAAAAAACATCAAAAATAAAAAAAACATCAAAAAATCAAAAAAACATATAAAATAACAAAATAACAGACAAAGCAATAAAGAAAAAACATCAATAAGAACATTACACATAGCAAGACATAGTCTTATATAATTTACACATCTAAAAACAGTTATAGCATAATTGGTTTCAGTTTTTATATTTTTCAATGTTATTTCAAAATTTATATATTTATATTTATGAGGCTAATGTTTGTTATGGTCTCTAATTTAAGTTTTTTCCATTATTTCATACTATAAAATTTTGACGTCTGGTGTTCAAACAGAAACGTAGAAAAAAAGAAATAAATAAGAAATAGTTATGTTTATGCAATTCTTTTAGTAAATTTACAATTTATTAATGAATATTAAGTTAAGAAAAGTAAAAAAAAAAAATTTTATTTACATGTTGCTTCAGGTTTGGGACACAGACATCCTAAATTTTAGGGCTTTTTTTGTTCCCAGGCTTTAGTCATTACATTTTTTTGAAAAGCATTTTAATTTGACATAAGTATAAACATATAAATGTTTAGAGTTTTCTCCATGTCTGGTTAGCTCATACAAAAAGTTAGTTTTATCAAACACAAAGAAATGCGAACTTCCTTAAATAAAATCTTAACAAAATGTTATATTTTATTACAAGTTTTAATTCATTCATAACTTACGCTAATTTAAACTTAATTGTAAGCAAAAATTTTAAGTTTTTCCTTGCAGAGTCATAAATTTTAGCAAAAATTAAAACAGCTGTTTCACTTCTATAAAAATCAGTACACAAAGTAAAAAACAAAAAAATCACAAAGTAAAAATGATCTACTACTTCAAAGAGACAAATTAGGTGTTTATTATGGTAATTTATGGACAATCTCATCATAAAAAAAACTAAAAAAAACTCATAAACAAGGTGGAATGGTTACAAAGAAATATTGAGTGAAGCGGAATAGTTTCTTGATTTGTGCGCTAAAGAAGGAACAGCGTTCCCCTGCATTCTTCCTTTGCTGGGCCTTTAAGCTCACAAAGCAATTCTTTTTGTAATGACTTTTCAGCAAGCTTAGAAAAAATGTAAAATCATGTTAAATTTTTTGAAATTAATGCAATAATTTAAATAGTCTAATAACGTCTGTTCACAAAAAATCCGGACTGATTTCAAATGTACAAAAATTGTTCTAAATTTCAAATTTTCGATTCGAAATTTTTAAATTTAATCGGTCAACAACAACAGTTTCATTTTGTGGCAAAATTGAGTTTAAATAATTCAAATAAACATGGAGCATCTAAAAGAGAACGATGTTAGAAATGTGATTGGAAATTTTTATAAACAAAACATAAACAGTGGAAAGAAATTTACAGTGGATCATTTTAAGAAAATGGGAATTGCTAAATCTACAATTTATGATATAATTAAAAGGTCTGAAAATAATTTGCCAATGAAAAGAAAAATCGGTTGCGGCAGAAAACCTTTTAAAATCACACCAGAAAAGATAGAGCCCATGATTGCAAGAGCAGAAGAGAGAATCGAGATTTCGCAAAGAAACTTTGCACTAAAATATAAGATAAGCGTTTCATATGTAAAAAGATTATTAAGTATGCATGGACTGAAGTATACCAAAAGAAAAAATGCACCAAAAACAACAGAAAAGCAAGAAATTAAACAAAAGAAAAACTTATTAAAACTTTCAAAAACCTTTTTTCAAGCTATCAAATGAGTTTGAAATCATCATGGACGATGAATCTTATTTCTGTGTAAATGGTGCAAATTGTTCACAAAACTCTGGCTACTATACAAAGGATAGTTCTCAAACTGATCCTAACATTAAATTCAA